AAATATAGCAATTTTATAACAATTGTGTTTAAAGTATGTTGTGAAAATCTTTTTGTATTTATCCCTTTCTATACACCTACTCATCTCACTTCACAAAGAAACACTTCCCCTGGCACTCCCTTGTCAAAAACACCAGCCGCAGATCTCTTTTTAACTTGAACCCAAAACTAACAAGGAAAACTTTGGCCTGTGAGATGTAGCTGTAGCCATGGGACTGTCCTGCCTGAGTTGAAAGAAAGCAGCCAATGCTATATCTTTCCTACGGGTCCAACAGAGCTTTAACCTGCTCTGAAATCATGGAGCACCTCAAGCGGCAGGTGCACAGCGTCTTAGAAGAAGGGAGGTTAACACCTTTAAGTAGCTCTAAACATTTTGTCTGTTTAATTGAAACAAGCAGCGTTTAGAAGACTGCTGTGTGCTGTCAGCTGTCTGCATCTAATTATAAAGAGTTTCATCCTCCAAGAATCAGGAGGAGCATTTTGACTGCCTCTGAAACTCATTACATATTTAGGATTATAGGAATGCATATGATCAGTGAGGAAGAGTTTTGGATGTACATGTTAACTCTACTTTAATATAAATGAGTTGTGTTTGGTGACAGTAAAAATCAGATACTGTGGAAAAGCACAAACTCATTCATAATCAGTAGCCTGAACATAAACCTTAGTTGTAACTGACGATAATGTCAGTATATTTGTTTTCATGGTAATAAGTGAGAAAATTATTATTTTATTTGTTCAAATATTTAAGATGTGTCAGAATACCGTAGTTATTATTTTTATATTTTATTTGTGAAAATATTTACGCTTTGAGTTATGTGACCTTTTACCTTGCCCCCGGAAGTAAACAAAAAGAGAGAAAATAGTAGCCGCGAAAAAGAGAGAAAAAGACGATAGAGAGAAACACACAAACAATTTATAAAGAAACAGACATCAAAATGACAATAGGCGAATAGGCGAACACGGTAAATATTGTTTTCAGTTCTGCATTTATTTAAAGGTATTTATTTAAAGCTGAGACATTTTCTGTGTCTGTCTTTATTTTAGTTTTCACGGTGTTTCAATGTGTTGATGGAGTTGAAGATTACTGAGAATAAATATTGACACACATGATCATCAGTACGAATCGTGAAGTCCTTTCTTGCGAAGAAAACCAGGGTAGCTACATTAGTATTCTGAAGCCCAAAGTACAGATACAGATATATAATAGTGTATGTGTTGTATCTCCTCAGGACCAATATCTTTAAGTGGATATAGAGAAAGGTACTCAGGCATAGCACCACCACTGGTCACTGCTCTTAAGGGTTAACAAATGGACAATCACGGCTCTCATAAATGTAACATATGAACCATTGGGGACAGTAAAACAAAATGGATGTGCAAATGATTCTAACAATAGTATCATATGCATATTGACTATGTTGAATTCTATATAATCCCTGAATCCAAACTGGGCCTTGTGGAATAAAATGAAAACCAAATAATGTTGTTAATCCACGCTCTAAAATAACCACTTCCCACATATCACAGATTTTCCCTGGGTCCAATTTATTTTACCTTCATTTTACCAGGCAAAATATAAATAACATAATGACAACCAGGAAAGCTTCCTCAGAGCCGAGAGATCTAAAGGGAACATATGAGGTGAGGATAAATAACAACAGCATTCTTTAAAATCATTTGAAATATTCTGGAAACACACACACAAAAGATAATTTATCACAGTCACAACAAGCTTTAACTGGGTCCAGTAAGGCTCACAAGACATCTAAAATACTATGGAGTAGTATTTTACTATGGTGCAACAGTGACTGTAAAATTTGTAAAAGAACAAGATGGCTTATGGAAAAATGCATTCAGAGCACCAGAGCAGACAAACCAATCACTCTGGCGATCATGTGGGACTGCCGCTGTGTTGATAATGTATGACAATGAAGACATCAGCTTACTGGATCCCTCCTCTGAGACAGGACTATGCTTTTGAATGAGGCCTATGTGCCACACTGCCATCTATCATGTTGACGGGCGGTTGCATAGAGAGGTTGTCAACCAGTCTACTCCCAGCCCAGATGTTAGTCCTGTCTTCTGTGGCCCAGAGTCATTTCTGTTGTTTTTGCATGATCAGGGAAGATACTAAAGGTGATTGTGGGTTTTACCATATTATTCAATATATCTAGATTTTTTGAAGCCATATCAACAGGACAGTATTTCTTCTGTATGTTAATGTGTAAATAAGGGCAGTTTGTAGGAAATCTTTGGTCCATTAAAGAAACATTTGGTGCTGTTGAGTGGGTGCACGGACCAGCAGATAACACAGACTTGTGACTGTACAACTTCAAAAACACAACAAACGAGGATCGGGCAAAATATTGATTACATTTTTAATTCATATTGATTTGTCTGGAAGAATATTGATTTTATTTCCCCTGCCTCCCACCTAACACGTTCGTCTGGACTTCCATAGCTCAGCCTTGCAAACAATAATTGCGCACAAGGCTAAACAGCAGAGCGATGTGTGTTCCCAGAAAAGCCACAACTTGGATTAGAGATGCGATGGTGATGGTGATGATGACGATGGGTTAAATATGATCACTTCTTGTATAATAACGTGGTAGCATCAAATGCTCAAGCTTTAGCTCTTATTCCATGTTTAAGCATTTTCCATTTACAAAAATGACAATTTTACAATCAAATCTGCAATTTTATTTTTAGGCAAAATTCCCCTGCCCTACAACCAACTGCAGTAACAGATCAGAGCTGGTTAAAGTCAGGCACTGAGAGGCACGACAACAACATGGACAGATGATGTTATGGCAGTTAATCCAGTGAAACATTTCATTTTCACTTTTTGTTAAGGGACAGAGGTTGAAAATATTCTGCTCAGAGTTGCAAAATGTGGAACGGAGAGGCCTTTCCATCGAGAATCACATAGTGCAGTATTAGGTTTGAGAGAATGAAAGTGAATTTGTCTGAATTGCTCAGTGCACTTGTTAATAACACTTAAGCCCATCAAGGACTACCACAAAGTTTAGTTTAGTCTTTATTTGAAGGGACAATGTTCAAAGACATTAAGCTCATAAAAAACAGAGATGTTCCGCATCAGATTATAGGTAAATAGTTAGTTTCCACCTGCAGCCCTTGATTTATAGACTTTCAGAGTAAAATCTTAAATGGCGTCCATTTTGAGATATTCATTACAAAGGCTAATGTTGGCATTAACACAGATTTAGTTTTAGAACTAATGAAACACAACCTCTGCAAAGAAAACAATCCAGTTTGATTTGTCCAAAGAGTGTACAGGTACAGTCATGCTATCCTGGACGCCCAAAAGTGACGTTATCTTCTCCAAAAGTGTTTAGTGATAACACTGAACCGAGCTCAAGTGGGTTTACCTCACACAAAGAGGAGTGAGGCCCTGGGCTCGACACTCCTGTTAAACAATGTGGCAGTAAAACAACTGAACGTAATGACTGTGACACTGAAGAATGGGACAAATGCTTGAGTTCCATTATCCAACAAATTTGCTATAAATTAAATCGTTCCTGATCATTTTTAAATTTAGAAATACTGCAGAACATTTTAGGATATTGCATCAAGAGTAAAGAAGTAAAAATATATTACTTTACCGCTGTATTGTACTTTTTAGGCATCTGTACTTTACTTAAGTTAACACATGACACATTACATTGAAGTTTTATAACTCAAAACCTGAGCAAAATATTTTTATTTTAGATGTATTTATTTATGTATGTATTTAAATAGTTACTTCATTTTACTTTAGTAGATTTTTTCATGTGATATTTTTACTTGAGTATTTTCTTTTCTTGCTCCGGTATCTGTACTTTTACAACAAGTTTGAGTACCACTCTATTACATTGATAATCTAAAACTCATTTGCAACTTGGTAACATAAAGTCAAAGTTGTACTAAAAAACTATAATAAAAGTCCAACGGAAAATGGCCTCACTTTGCATGTCAGACTCGAACTTCATTACATAAATATTCATACTTGTCCTTAATGACATGAGCAGACAGACTCTCACACCAAGTACTGCACCAGCTCATTAGCTCCCAAACTTCTCCATCTCTCCCTCTGTCTTTCTCTCCCTCCGTCATCCATCCATCTCACACTCCTCTTTGCAGGTAAAACTCAAATTCGAATGACAGCCCAAAGTGTCTGTGGGTTTTGTCAAGCGGCATTCTTCATTTCGCGGCAGACAGGACCTGGCTGATGTGAACAGAATGGTAAAGTCCTTCAAGGCGCGCTTCTCACTGGTATTTTTTTTGGCACATTCGACATTGGTATGAAAGGTAGAGACACGGCGGCATGAAAAGGCGAGTCTGGTTTCTGCAGAGATAATTGTGGAATAATGAGGTGGTAATGATGTCGGAGTAGACAGCACAGAGGGTACAGGGAACAAGACAAACAGGGTAGAAAAAGAACCAAGATTGTACACTGTTACATGCCAGAAAACGTGGTGAAATAATAGCTGCAAGTATTTGAAAAATCAATAGTCAATATTAAAGTGCTGGTCAGGTTGTAGTATTGTTTCCTCGTGACCAACATTTCTGGAGTTGTGTTTTGTTTCATTCACACTTGTTTAACACACAAACCCTGCATATTTAGGCTGAGTTCTTCTCTCAGACTGAAAACACACTGTTCCACCTTGTGATGTTAAGTGGTAATACAAGAAGTGCTCCATTGTGTTTTTAAACTCCATACACTAGAATCATTTGGATGATTTCAGGAAGTGCCCATCTCTACTGAACAAAAAATAAAAGGTAGCTGTTAACATGAATACTACCGCTTCATCACATCACAAGGTGGAAAAGAGAATTTTGAGCTTTGGAGATGTAGACAAACTAATAATAAAGGGGTACTCTAACCTTGAACGTGTGTGAATGAAACAAAACACAGCTCCAGATATGGTTTTGAACATGGCTTAAAGCTCACAGATTGAATGCTGTATAATATAGGACCTTTAAAAAACGTATTCTTACATGGAAGGATGCTCTTTCTTCTCGGTCTAAGGGCTGTGTGACAAACATGTTCCCGCTAATAGGATCAATGTTGTAGATTCCACTTGGAGGCTGGTCAGCGCCTGCTCCTGTGATGCTGTAGCGGATCCCCACGTCTTTGTCCTGGTCGGATCGAATCTGAAAAATAAATGGGAAAAAACAAGATTAGAATTATGCAGGACAGGGCTAAGAATCACAAGGTACATGATACATAGCTCACAAAATGATATTATCACCATGTGGTGATACATGCATTTATCCATATATTGCACATGATACTCTACTACTTGTCCAAAGTGAATATGGAGTTTTAATCATTAAAACATTTGTGTGTGTCTCAAAAAAAATTGATACAGAAGCCCACGATAACGGTACTGTATCACCAAATTTAGTATCATGATATATATTGCCATTTCAACATTTTTGCACAGGTTTGCTTTTTTTGCAAGCATGTTGACCTTGTAGTTTAAGATTAATATCTATTAGTGGGTCTAAACCAAAAGAAGCACAAAGTTTGACATCTTTGACTTCTCTTAAAAGAAAAGTGATCTTATTTTTTCACAATAGCTTTAGAAAGTAGTGCCAGGTTCAATATTTCTGGATGGTAAGTTTGTATATTTCTTTCAAAAACAGTAAATCTCCTATAGAGTAAGCCATCTGAAATTATGACATTTCTAGAGAACTTATAACAATGTGCAACAAAGATGACACAATTCCAACAAGGATCTGGAAAATGAGGATTTATCTTTCCATATCTCAGTAAGATTCTTAACATTTTTATATTGTATAGAAACAAAAATACAATAATGAGCAACTAACAAAAATGAAAGAAACTAATTATGAAAAAAAGTACTACCTTCCTACCAAAATGTTCAACATTTTTACCATCTTTAGTTACACTGTGCAAAACAAAGTGTAGCCTGGTTATAGTTAGTCATTGCTAATTTTCCACCACTGTCACACATTCTCCTGTTCAGACCATTGAACCAGTTCTACCTTAACTCAGTGAAAAAAGCGCTGCTGAAATAACTTCAGGCATCAGCTAAGACGAAGACTTTTCCTTGATAATGAGCTCAATAAACGTGTACTACTATATGATGTACAAAACGATTCAGAGCCTGGAGGTTTTTCACTTGAACCTGACTCTGCCGAGGTGAGAATAGAAAATGGATGAATGTGCGGTTAAAGATTTGCTCTGTCTTTGTCCCAGCATAATTTCTCAGTGAACCTTAAAAAGTGCGATGACGGGGCCTCAAGGTTACGCTGTCTATCTCACCATGGCGCGCGGTAACGATCCTAGCCCCGCTGAACTGTTATTCGCAATTTAATATCACGTTTTAGTCGTTTCACCTTTTCCTCTGCGGCTTTTGTGTCACGTACAATTCAAAATGGGAGTTTTAAAGAGAGCTGAACAGGTTTTGTCTTGCCAGCGCCACAGATATCAATAAGTCATCAGTGCCATTGGTAAAAATAAGATAAAGGGAAAAGGGATCTGCTGGTGTTGGTTTGCAGAAAGATGTTGGGCTTGTATGAGAAAAAAAAAAACTGTATTATAATATTTGTTCTATATTACACAAAACTGATTTGCGTGAGCTTTAAGCCATGTTACTGCTGTTACCTCCTCAAGAACATGCCTGGATTTGTCTCTTGTTTTTTTATTTATTATTTTATTAAGTAATCCTTTATTATTAGTCTGTCTACATCTTCAAACCTCAAAATGCTCTGTTCCACCTTGCAATGTCACAAAGTGGTTGTTTTAACGTTATCAGCTACCTTTTACCTTTAGTTCAGTAGAGATGTGCAATTCCAAGGCTGAAATGATCCAAATGGTTCTATTGAAGGTGTATGAAGTTTAAAAACATAATGGAGCATTTTCTGTATTACCACATGACATCACAGAGTAGTTTTTTTTTTGTTTGAGAGAAGAACTCAGTAGGGTCTGTGTGTTAAACATCTGCGAATGAAACACAACACAACTGCAGGTACGATATGTTTGTGACGAGTAAACAACATTATAATATAGATAAGAAAATAACACAATGTGGACCCTTTAAGTAGCAGAAGATTCTATTTTAGGAAACTTTTTTTTTTTTCAGATGTCATACATAAGAGTTCTGCATTTTCATACCTGTTTAAATTACATTTTAATTTGACTTTAATTCGGTTGATTGTCACAGTAGGGATGTTCAGTGCAACCTGGAACATCTGCCAGACAAAAAGTGGGTGACAGCAGTACACCCAGGGGCCCTTCTCCAGCGCTGAAGCCAGAGTCCTCCATAGAAAGCGATACGTTCACTTTCTTGTAAATGTTTTTAGGCTGAAGGTAGAAAATACTTATGTGGCTCCACATGGCCTTGTTATGAGGTACTCCACAATACCCCGTGCTTTCTTTTAAGAAGCAATGCGTAGAGCAAAGCAGAGAACGAATACAACACTGTGTCAGCTGTGTTTAAAAATGTCTTCACATCCACCTGTCTCTGCTGTGCTGTTGTGCTGTTGCTGTGTGGGACTGAGCCATCATCGCTATGGTTACAAATCAGAAGCAATAATGACAGAGTTGCATGGAGAATGGGCTTGATTTTCCTCTTTCTATCTTATACTTTTCCTCCACTGTAATTTCCCTGGTCTGCAGGGCTGCACTTATGCATGAAAATGAAATGACTTCATGCATTCAGCGGTGACACTGGCTTCTGCATAAAACATCTCTGCATTTGAACGTCACACTCAAGCTCTTAATTTCAGCTGGATCCTCCCACGCCGATACTCACTTATACTTTCTGATACAGATCTGAATATGCACAAGTCCAGACCAAGTGTCAAGGACTGTGCAGAGGTATACTGTTCTATTGGGAGTAAACACATTTGAGTGCAGATTCAGTGATACCCAATAAGTGCATCTCATACAATATTTGGTTACTCTTTAGAATACTGTCAACAAGCCCATGACAAGCAGTCATAACATAAATGAAACACCATATTATCTCCTTGTTGTATTTGTTTCCACTCAAGGGACAAATACAACAAGAAGATCAGAGCACTACTTCAGAAGCACTTTAGACCTACATCTGGAACATGCTGACGTAATAGAACTCATATGGTCCTACATCTTTCAATTACCCTTGCACACAAATATTCATGTACAACTAACTGCACTTATTCCTTGCACTCACCATCTGCCAGTCATATCTACTCAGTATTAGAGTTATCATAACGACATAATGCCCTCATTCTCCGTGTCATCTGGTACAAAATGTGCTGCAACAGATGGGATAATAATTTCATTAAAATACACAAATAGTAATACCTCTGTTTGCTCCTTACTGTTATGTGTAGACTACAGCCACAACATGAGGAGGCCTTGTTGTAACACACTGGTTATTGTTCATTTACAAATCCTACCAGCTACTTATTAAACTTACATAACTCATCTGCAACAGACCCGAAAACTCAGTTAGTCTGTACCTCTCTTCTTTCAAAAACTGAATCCAGAATCTGTAACAGGATCACTGCATGTTTCTAATACAATGTTTGTATCTATCCACCCCATGTGTGTTTTACAGTAGCATGTTATGTGTGATGTGAATGTGTTTGTCCTGCCAGTATGTCAGGTCGTCATGACAATCTGTTTGCAAATGACCTACCTGAAAAACTCATCAAGTTAGTGATTTTAGTGATTATTATTAACAATCATCACATATGTAGAATCATACACGCAATCCTATTAACAACTAGTTTACAGCATGCGTCCAAAGTCATTTTAACATTTTTTTTTCTAAAGTTGCACCATAAAAAACTAAAAAAATTTAACCACAATAAACACAAAACTGTAATATGCTACATTCCTTTGTCTGAAAACAGGACTGTAGCAGACCGCTGAGTTGAGTTTTGCATGAATCTCTTTTCTGGGCACATGAGACTCTAGTGTACCAGTGCCTGTGTGTGTGTGTCCCAGTGTTTGACAGGTTAAGGTCCAGTGTGGGCTCACTAAAGCTAAGATCAAAAAGCCCGGCTCAGTTCAATAATTCAGCGGGTGGCAGAGCCGTCGTGTGAGAAAGACATGAGAATGTTCAGCTGCCACACTCGCTGCATCGCCATGGTAATGTGCCTCTGTTACACTTTGAGACATGTCTACACTGTCAGGGGGCTGTTGCCTTGCCTGGAGATGGAACAACAAATAACAACAAAAAAACTATAGTTGTCCAGCCCATGCTTTAAAGATCATTCAATTAGATTTTATTTAATGACTTTGATTAGTTACAAATATCACAAAAGCAACGACAGCTACACCACTGTGTCACCTGTATTTCTAAGATAAAACTTTTCTGTATCTAAGTCACCATAATAAAATGAAAGAGGAAATGATTTGAGAGAAGCATCTGGCTGCTTGTTTCTGTATCTACATCTTGAAAAGGACAAGATGCATATGTGCCGCCCACCACAACATATTTTAAAGACTTTACCCTTCATGTCCACAAATATTTGCCATGAATAAATGCCAAGTTACTCTTTTAAAGGAGTTCAAAATAACTTACATTTTTTAGTTAATAGTTATAACTGTAGAAAATATTTATATTAAATATGTTACATCCAACACAAAGGGAGTTTTTTAATTTATTTTTTTAATCTTGCTGCATTATGAATATGCTCTATTTCTGCTCATGAAACAGTCTGTCGGTAAATTCACAGCAAAAACACTGAATCAAATGCGATGCTGAGAGCACTAAAAGGTGGAACAAGTCTAAACAACTTTTATACTATGGTGTCTCATTGAAATGAATGTATGAACTCTAAGTGTGTGAGTCCTGGAGAGTTCTATAGGTTTAAGTATATCTGCATGTTTGACAGTACAGTGATCAGGTCTGCTGTTGGTCTGACAGAGCAGAGCAGGATGTGTGGAGCTGCCCATCAGAGCATTACTCCCAGAGGAAACAAAGGGATTCTATATCAGCAGCCTTTGCTTCCACGCCTGCTTAAGATTCAACATGGAGGCCACCTGAGAGCACATGTCAGAGCCACCGCGTCTCTTAATGAACACTCTTTTTATCGATAAATTGAATAAATGAAGACATTCGCCTCCACTGGGGCCTGGGAGCCCCATGAGTGACGACTGTGAGATTGAGGCTTTTGTGCTGAATGCT